GAAATTAACAATGGTTGTTGTATTACGTATTGATATCTTCAAAGTGGTTTCTCAGGAAAACAAATATAGACATGCAAGATTGATCAAATAATTAATCATTTCAGTAAAGCAACAGAAGTCAGTAGTACAACTATGTTAGCTTTCCTGTGTATACATACATACATAATTGCCCCTTCTTTCTTTTCTCTTTTCCCTCACCCCAACTGCTCTTAACTTCTGAGCATTTTCCTTTTATTTCACAATGTCTGTCATACCTCCTAATTTTTATTCACTCTTTCAGGTTCTTACACTAGTGAGATAATACATACCTTCCATGTGGAGGTCTGGTTTATTTCACTTATGAGTATGGTCTCTAGTTGTGACCATTTACCTGTAAAAGCCTTGCGTTTATCTTTCTTTATAGCTGAGTAATATCCCATTATATAAAAGTACCACAAAAATTGGCCTAAGATTTTTTTTTTTTGTACTGGGAATTGAACTCACGACCTTGTACTTGCCGAGCCGGTACTGTGCTGCAGAGCTATATCCCCAGCCCTCAAACTATTCTACCACCATCGTTTTTTTGTTTTGTTTTGTTTTTTGTTTTTGTTTTTTCTCTTTTTGAGACAGGATCTCGCTATACAGTTCAGGCTGGCCTTGAGCTCAGTATGTAGCCTAGGCTGGTCTCAAACTCGCAATGATCCTCCTGCCTCAGCCTCCCAAGTGCTGGGATTACAGGTGTGTGCCACCACCCCAACCCTGTGCTCATATACTCTGATTAACTACTATGAAGATAACAATACGTAATGTATTAATTATTGTTCCTTTCTTACTAGCCTGTTTTGAAACTGTGTTTTATCGTTATTTTTATTTTTTCTCTTTAAAAAAAAAAGAATGACACATTTGAGACATCTGTAGGAAAATGGATGCACCTGGAAAAAATAATGTGGAGTGAAATAAGTCAGACACACAAGCTTAACTACCATATAGTATCATCTCTCATTTGAGTGAGGCAAAGCACAAACAAAGAAAGTAATAAAGGATAGATAGGCCAGGCGAGGTGCTGCACACCTGTAATCCCAGTAGTTGGGAGGCTGAGGGTAGGGGTCTTCAAACAACTGAAATTTATCACCGCATAATGTGAACACCAGAAATCCAAATTCAAGGTGCCAGCATGACTGTGCTCTCTTTGAAGGTGTTAGGGTAGGAACCACCCCATACCTCCTTCATATTTTCTGGTGGCTTCAGGTGTTTCTTGGCTTCTGGATTCAAATCCCGGAACCATTTTCTTCCTGTGTGTCTTCACATTACCCTCCCTCTGCATGTGTGTTTTTGTGCCTAGATTTCCCCTTTTATTAGGACATCAGTTATACTGGCTTAGGACTCAGCCTAATGGCCTCAGTGTAGCTTGATTATTTCTATACTCTATTTCCAAAAAAGATCACATTCTGTGGTCGTGAGAGTTTGGGCTTTGATGTATTTTATTTGTGGGACATAATTTAAACATAACAGGCTCCTCAGAGCTTCACAGGATGGCTGTGCTTACCCACTGACAGCAGAAGGCTGTAGTTCTCCAGCATTACATCATGGTACAGGCACCTTTGAGTGGAGTCCAGTTGCTGCCACTCCTCCCTACTGAAGTCCACAGTCACATCCTCAAACGACACTGGTACCTGTAACAACACAATCTTGTTCAAGCCAATGCAGTCAGCATTAGGGGTAGGGAGAAGATAGGAAGTTGCTTTCAAGTGTCTTTCATCATAATATACCATATGACATAGCTATTAAGCACACATATATATTATGGTATAGAAGACAAACATCATAAATTTCTGATATTCATTATACATGACATTTAGTTCACCTTTCATTTTTAAAACAATTTTTAAGGAATTTGACTTTGTGTCTATTTTGTTACCCACTTTTATGGGAAATTTGTATTCTACAACTTTTAAAGGAAGCCTGTATTATCACCCACCCTCTTTTTTTTAAATTTGACATAGCACCTATTATTGTTGCTTTTATTTATGCTTCAGAAATATCATTTTCTTTGATGTCTTTTTATTGTACATTTCTAATGCAATTCCATTTTTGTCAGAAAATATATTCTGTATCATTTCAACATACAGTCTATCTAGGAGTCTAGTCCATGCTTCCCTACAAAAAGAATGTAGGCTGGGCATAGTGGCACACATCTGTAGTACCAGCACTCAGGAGGCAGAGGCAGGAGGATAGCCATGAGTTCAAGACCAGCCTAGACTACAGAGTGAGTTCAAGGCCAGTCAGCTACACAGCGAGACCTTGTCTCAAAAAAAAAAAATGTATACTTAGCTGTCGATAGCTATGGGGTTCTATAATATATAAATCTAATTGGTTGAATTTTATTCAAATTCTCTGTAATCTTAGTGATTTGTCTACTGCTTGTTCAATCAATAATTTTTTTTATTTTGGTAAAAATTGATAAGGAAATGTTAAGGTTTATATCGCTAGGTAAAGAACCTAGAATAGCCAAAGCAAGAAAAAGTATGCAAGATTTATATTACCCATGTTAAGACTTATCATAAAGCTACAGTAATTCTGACAATATGATACTGATGTAAGGATAGACAAATATATAACTGAAACCGAACAGTCCAGAAATAGACCCACATCTATATGGACAACTGTTTTTCGACAAAGGTACCAATGTGATTCTATGGGGGAAAGGAAAGTCTTTTCAACAAATTATGCTGGAAGAAATGGATATAAGTATTGGGGAAAAAAACCTTGAACCATACTTGAAAATAAAAATTTTTTTCAAAATAAAACAATTTTTAGCTCAGTGGTAGAGCAACCCTGGACTTCACCCCCATTACCTCAGAATAGAAAATAACTGAAGATACCGAAAAGCAATCAAAATCAGGCATCTACTGGAGGGAAGCTGACACTGAGAAGGAAGGGATGGGTCCTTAGTTTGTGAAAAAGGACCAGACAATGCCATCCAGGGTAACTAAAATTCCAATTAAAAAACCATGAGTCTTATTGACTTGAGAAAATCAAGAGAGTGTTTTACAGTTATCATTATAGCAGTAAAACTAAGGGAGAATCTAGGAAGACATCCAGGGAAAAGGATGCCTAAATTCTGTGAATGAACTTTGCCCGGATCTCTGCTTGGCCACTTAAATGAAGTGAAATTTGAACCACTGCATATCACAGTGGTGAATGCTTTTCTAACTTGAGTCAAAAAAGTACTCAGTACATAAAACTAAATAAAAAATCAGCAAAATTCAGAAGAGCTAAACAGAATCCGACATCTTAACTATATGTTTCATAACAACTATTATATAAACCAAAATAACGCAACATACAGACAGAGAGGTTTGGAGAGAACGAGGTCCAAGAGGAAAGAGCATCACGGACTCATCTGAGGTGACTCAAATGCCAGAGTCGGCAGAAAATACCTTTAAACCAGTTGTTTATCACTATGCCTAAGCACATAAAGAAAAACTATGTATATAAGGAATGAATAAATAGGATAGCTCAACTGAGAAACAAAAAGTAAAAAATAACCAACTGAAAAGTCTAGAACTGACTGATATAATCTGAAACAAAAAACTCACCAGAGAGGCTTAACAGAAAAACGGTGATAACAGAAAGAAAAATTAATGTAATTAGACCAATAGAAATAAAGGGGAAAAAAGGAAAAAACTTTAAAAAGTGAATAGTGCCTCAGGGATGGTGTTCTGGTTTAAATATCTACTTCCTTTCCGAAATTCATATTGACACTTAATCCCCAATGTGACAGTATTAAGAGGCATGGTCTTGGAAGAGGTAATCATCTCACATGAGGTTCTTCCCTACAAATGCATTAGTATTCTTATAAAAGAGCCGTAAAAATCTAGTTGGGACTCTTCCTTTTATCCTTCCATCCCTTCTGCCATATGAGAACACTGTATTTCCCTTTCTGGAAGACACAGCAACAAGTACCATTTTAGAAGCAGAAATCAGCCCTCACCAGACACCAAACCTGCTCGTGACTTTATCTTATAGTTCCCAGCTTCCAAGCCTATGAAAAATAAATATTATTTATTATAAAATATATAAAAAATATTATTTAGATATTACTCAATTTCCAGTATTTTGTTACAGCTGCAAAAATAGCCTTACACAGAAACTAATGCCAAGAAGTAAAATACTGCTTAACAAATACCTAAAATTGTGGAAGTGGTGTAGGACCCAGGCAATGGGTATGGTCAAGTCCATTATTTGTGGCAAATGATATTGCAAAGGTTTCAGGATGCTCTCACAATTCGTCTCTAGCCATTCACAGGGAAACTTATAGAAATTTGTCCCACTGGAAGTATTTGTTATCATTCAACATGTAGATTATTTCCTGGTAGCCTCCAGAACTAAAGAGCAATATAGAAGTCAGGCACGGTAACGCACGCCTGTAATTCCAGCACTCGGGAGGCTGAGGCAGGAGGATCACTGTGAGTTCAAGACCAGCCTGGGCTACAAAGTGAGCTCAGGGCCAGCCTGAACTGCATAGTGAGACCCTATCTCAAATAGACAAAAAAAAAGCAATGTAAAACTGATACTTTCTTACAGTTTCTTGCTTCACGGGGCATAATGTCCTACTGTACACACTCTAATACTGCCAAACAGAAGTAAAGTATTTAGGCAATCTGTTGTCAAGTGAAGGCTGTAATTTTTTCAGAAGAAAAGGCCTATATGATAAAGAAGTAGACAGTTTTGGGAACTCTTAGGGTACTACAAAAGGGTGAATTCTAGCTTTTGCACTTTGATGGAACAACTGATTGTATAGTAATTTCCCAGATCCACTGATTTGGTCCCTAGAATCTGAAATGGCTTAGAACAACTGAAATTTGCTATAGTCTCTGTCCTAACCTCGGGGATTTCAATTTTTTTTTAAAAAATGGTCCACTTGTGTTACATAAAAATTAAGGCATTCCTATTGGAATGAGGTTATACTATAAAACAACAGCACATTTCTCTGTTTGGAATGTCGTAGCATTTGAAATGTCTAGATATCTTCTATTGGTGGCAGCAGCAGCCATACTTAATGGAAAGTGTGTGACCCTTACCTTGGGTACCTTGGCTTTTTTGCATATTCTTCATACTATGACAGCTATCTTACAAGTGCACAGAAATAGGATTTATTGGTATGCTAGCTGACTAACTATGAACAAGGATTATTATGCAATCCTAATCTTGTGCTTGGAAGATGCAGTCTCCTAAACCCTGCTATTCTTTCACCAGATCTGGGACAAATAGATGATCACCAGTGTTCAATGATAACAGAAGAAGACACTAGGCAGCAACTGTATTTTTCTGATATTTCTGTTTAAAACACATACTTGATAATGTTTACTAATGGGTCATGGACCTGCAATGAAAAGAGCCATCTTTAGACTGCCCATACTGTGGTGACTGCTCAGGAAATCTTGTGAGCTTATATTTTACCTAGAGTTAAATGAACACAAATTACCAAGTTATGATCAGCTATGAGGGCTATAATTCTTGGTTCAGGGCTTAAAGTGAATCTATATACTGATAGTAAACATGTATTTTAGTGTCTTTCACATAATGGGGAAAATCTGAAAAAAAAAATAGAAGATTCTTGACTTCAATGAGAACTAAAATAGCTCATGGAAAATTGATATCTGAATTATTAAATGCTTCCCAAGAGCCTACTCAGATATGAATAATTTACTGTAGGGCCCACATAGATTTCGCTGATAGAGTTCCAAAAGCTACTGTTAAAACACAGTAAACTCGAGGGAGAAAAATGATGGAGTAGTGAGTGCCAGCGACTCAGCTTTTCCAGGACAAAGTGCTGAGTCTGGAAAACACTAGCCTGGAGAGGAATCAAAGGAAGTGGAGGGCACATGGGAACCACAAGTGTACTGACAAAGAAGAAGAAAACAGGGGCTGGGGATTTAGCTCAGCGGCAAAAGCGCCTGCTTGGCAAGCGCAAGGTCGTGAGTTCGGTTCCTGGTACCGGAGAAAAATCCAAAAAAAAAAAAAAAAAAAAAAAAAAAAAAAGAAAACAGGATTCATTGCTACAGAAGAAACAGCTCATTGTTGCAGACCAGAGACCATGCAGTGCGGCAGGTCTGTGAAGCTGACCCAGTGGGAAGGCAGAGAAGACTACTTTGTTGCTCACTGCCAAACGGAGACCTGACCAAAACTGAAGAATCTTCTTCAGGCAGAGGCAGCAGTGAGAACACAAGACCCTGCTTCCTGAGCAGCTCCTGATCAGCAGTGGGTGAGTGAGGTAGAGTGGTGCCCTGGCACACAGTCACACAGAGGAGCAGCAGCAGGTGGGCAGGGTCACCATTCCATTTCAAAGGGCTTGGGGTTCAAACTACAGCAGCAGAATAATTGACCAGGGTTACTTCACTGCCAAAGTCCCGGAGTGGAATAAGGATTGGGCCATCCAGTCACAGCAGGCTGCAAGCAGTTGGACAGCAGACTAGCGGGAATTCTGGTGAGAAGTAGGAGCTGGAACCACCCACACTCTGCTCTGGCGGCTACCAAAAGCCAGTCTTACACCTAGCTACAAAGGACTGGAAGCATCCCTCTGCTCAGCGACCAGTGGCACAAGCAGGCAAGTAGCCTTGGTCTGTGGCAGGACAATGGTACAACCCCAGACTTGTGTTTAGTGGCACAA